TAATGGATGGATGAGTATTAATGGATGAATGGATGAGTATTAGTGGATTGATGAGTATTAATGGATGAATGATTGTTAATAGATGGATGAGTATTAATGGATGAATGGATGAGTATTAGTGGATGGATGAGTATTAATGGATGAGTATTAGTGGATGGATGAGTATTAATGGATGAATGATTGTTAATGGGTGGATGAGTATTAATGGATGAATGATTGTTAATGGATGGATGAGTATGAATGGATGAGTATTAATGGATGGCTCACCCTGCCGTTGTGGCAGAATTCATAGCCTTCCTGTTTGCACTCATGAGATCTGATGAGCAGCTGCAGTTTGTGTCTGTCCAGCACTTCCTGTGTGATGTCCGGCCTCCAGTAACACCCACCTCCTCGAACCTCGTTAGGGACACAACCGTTCTGAGACATCGGGTCACTCCACAGAACGTCCACTATCTGCAGAGTGTGTGTGAGACAAACCGCACTTGAACTCTTGATTATACATGATGTTAATGTTGAGGGACAACAAAATGTAACATCATAAATATAACACCATTTTTGCACTGGAATTAAAAAAAAAATTAGATTGGTTGTTGAACTGTAAATGTCAGGTAAAGACAGGTAAAAAAACTACAAACCTTATTAAATCAATATATGACAGTAATAAACTGATGATAGTATTTTACGAAGGAAAAACTGGCAATAAAAGAACAAAAAATTGTTCTCAGTAGCGTGGAGGGATGCGTGTGCTGCTTAAGCCGAACGATATCGACTGTCTGCGATAAGCTTTGGTCTTAAACGTCTGAGCAAACAAATGACAACACAAGCCAAACACGATTAAGTCACCTATTAAAAAGCTCTAAACACAACAACAACAAGTGCTGGCAGACTACCTGCACACACACCAACAAAAAGTACCATGGTATTTCCATGGTCTATTTGACTTTACTCCATGGTAATGCCGTGGTATTCTTTGAAGTAAATTATGGTAATCACTCAGTATCAAGATATACATAAAAGTACCATGATATTACCATCAGATACATCACAGTACTGTGCCACAGTAGTTTTTTTCTAAGGTTTCTTCAAATTGTTTGGTCATACTGTGATGAGTGAGAAAGACAGGAGTGAGTGAAAGTGTGTGTGTGTGTTTGGGTGTTATCAATGCTCCAGTGAAGTTCAGTGGGTTTGTGTTTTCACCTGTTTCCATTCATCTGCATCCATCTCCAGAACCTCAGCGGTGTGCCGTGAGTCAGAGACTGAACTCTACTCCGTCCCGTGCTGAGCTCGTCATCTCCGTCTGGGTCGAGAGCCGCTTCCTTCAGCCTCGCCGATGCTCCTCTACTCTTCAGGGGACTAAGGGCCGAAACGAACTGAGGGGAAACAGCCCAGAACACAACGACAGACACACATGAACACAACAACGCCCACCACTGGGTTTCATGCGATTGCTTAAGTGTAACGTACTCTGTGACGGTCCAGTTTGGCGATCACATTCAAGTCTGTCTTGTCAGAAATTCCTCCGTGTAGAATCAGAACTTTCTGGTCGATCACGGTGGCCAGCGGCAACCAGCTGAAGATCTTCTGCAGAAGTTTAAGAATCATTTCCCCATGAACCTGTGACGACATCAGAGAAAAGCGCTCAGTATTGCTCTTTCCTGTCATAAAGACGATCACTTGTGTTTGGAGCCGTTTACTGTGAGTTCTCTGATAAGATAAAAAGAGCGAAGACACTAATATAGTTACCATTATAGTTATTCTTGGTGTGAACTTGTTTTCTGGCAGCTCTGCACACCTTATTTAGAATGAAATCAGTTGAGTTAAAATTGTATTAAATTCGTGATCTTTCTATCCAAGGGAAACGGACTTATCCGGTTTGTCCATGTCTGTTTAATATAAAGAGATTAAGTCAAATGGTAAAATACGTATCGTGAAAAGCGCTGTACAAATAAACTTGAATTGAATTGAATGTCTTTGTGCACCGGGGAACAGAAAAAGAAAAGGGCCTCCCCAAACTGTTCCCGCAAAGTTGGAAGCATAGCATTGTCCAAAATATCTTGGGAAATGTTAATTCTTCAGGGCCGATCCCTGAAAAACAGCCCCATTCCAGACTTTACAGTTGGCACAATGCAGTCAGGCAGGTAACGTTCTGCTGGAGATCCTCTTCAGCTCTGGAATCAGCGGAGCGTTGGTGACTTTTACACAACATGAGCCCCAGCACTCGGTGAGCCACTCTGTGACTTTATGTGGGCTTGTGGCTGCTGTTCCTATACACTCCCACTTTCCAGTAATACCACTTACAGCTGAAGGTGGAATATCTAGCAGGCATGAAATTTCACACACTGACTTATTGCAAAGACGGCGTTCTATCACAGTACCATGCTTCAATTCACTGAGATCTTCAAAACAAATTCTTTCCACAAATGTTTGTAAATGCAGACTGCATGGCTAGACACTTGATTTTATACACCTGTGTCAATGGGTCTAAATGAACAGGTGTTCCCTAACCCTAACAACAATGTGCTAAAATGGAAAAGTTTTGGCTTTGCGTTTTTCATGTACTGAAGACAACATTGTCAAAACCTTCCCTGGTCACACGGATCCAGGCCAGCAGTTGGCAATGCGATTTTTGTAAAGAAATACTACACAAACATGTAATACATATATGCATGAATTTGCATTTTTGTAGTTTACACAGAGACAATAACGGTATCACTTCTTGTGATAACTTGTGCTTTAAGACCTGTTTTCAAAAGTTTGCATTTTCACATCCCCAAAATGCTGCTGTCGTGTAAATGAACAGCCAAAACACATAAAAGGTTTTCTGTTTTTAGTTGAAAATGGTGTTGTGTAAACAGCCCCTCTATAATTCCTTAAAAAATATAATAATAATAATACCTTTTATTTATAGGCGCCTTTCAGGACACTCAAGGACACCGTACAGTATAAAATAAAACATAAAATGCAAGCATTATAACAACACATTAAACCAGCAAATCATTAAAAGCTATTCTAAACAAATACGTTTTTATCGGAGCTTTAAAATGGGAAATTGAATCCAGTTGGCAAATGTGCAAATGTAAAGAGTTCCATAACTTCGGCGCTGCACAACTAAAAACCCTACCACCAAAGGAACTCATCTTGAAGTTTGGAACAGACAAATACATCTGCAGAAGATGATCTCAAAGGAGTGTACAATCTGAAAGATAATGAGGTGCCAAATTATGAAGAGCTTTGTATGTAAGAAGAAAAATTTTGTAATGTACACGATAATGAACAGGAAGCCAATGCAGCTGAAAAAGAATTGGAGTTATGTGATCGAAATTACGTGAGCGCGTAACTAACCTATAAAGTATAAGACAAAGAAAATGCATGTAATACTGAAATAATCAACAAGACAATGCTTGAATGGAGTTTTAATGTAAAGCAATCCGAGGATTTCATTACAGTTCTTATTTGCTAATGCAGACAAACGATCTGTGGATGTGTAAATGGACAGACGAGAGGAAGGTGCAAATCCTCTTAGAGCAGTCGTGTTCAGTCCTGCTGGAGGCCTGCAGAGTTCCGCTCTAATCCTAATTAAACACATCCAAACAGCTAATGAAGGTTTTCAGCATCACTGCAATTCTACAGTAATATCATATAGAAAAATATTCTGAATGTAAAAAATCAAATACTATGCAAGCAGTTGCATGTAGCTGAACATCTTCACAAGTGTTAGTCTTTCACTTTCATTACCATCTGTACAAAAGAGGAAAACTTAGGAATAATTTTGCACTGTAATATAAACATGGACCTTGTAACATATACTGCAGTCAATTATAAACAGTAGAGAGTGTCATTCTGGTTTTTTGAAGAAATTTTATAAAAGAAAACATTAGATAATGCTACCTGTTGTTAGTGTTTTTTAGGTTGTGTTATGAATGATAAAGTGTGTTTGTTTGCTAGTGTTCTGTTAGAATGAGGCATTAATTAAGTGTTTTGGTAGTTTTAGTGCATTTTAATGTGAAATGAACTGCTGTGTCAGGTTGAAAGATGGTTAGGAGAACTGTGTGAAGAGTTTTGAGAAAGTGACTTTAGTATTTAGAAATGTGTCAATCTAGTGATTGTAAAAAACCGTAAACACACACATTTTGTAACATGTAAATGAAGCTGCTTTGACAGGAATAATTGTACTTGTTTGTTTTTGAAGGCGTGCACCAGCTCCGTGACGTTGGAGATGCTCAGTGGGAAAGAGAGATGCGGGCCGGTGTAGACGTCTGGAACCTCAATGTGCTTATAACAGAAGCGTCTCTCCCACTCCGCGTCCTGAGACACCTCGCTCTCGCCAAACATCTGAGAGACCAGATTGCCTGAAGGAGACGCATGTGTCAGTCTGTTCAGTTACCCTGAGCACTTCATCAGATCAGACACAGCTGAAGAACTTGATTCTTACTTCGGCTGTTGGCAGAACTGAAATGATCCATCAGGTAACCAAAGAAATTATACAGCTGCAGAGACACAAACAGCATGAGCGTGTTTCATGTGCAGAAATGAGATCCGTGTTGTTTCACCTTGATATGATCCTGTTGTCCAGAATACTCTATCGACTGAAAGATGTTCCAGGTGCAGCGGCGTCTCATCTCCAGCCGCACCACATACTGATGATACCAGCTCTGGATGAGCAGCGCCGCCCGCATCGCATCACACAGACAGAGAGAGAGACAGACAGAGAGAGAGAGAGACAGAGAGA